CAGATTTAAGGCCAATGCGAAAACCCAAAGACGCCGACATTTTATTATGCTACTGTAATCGAAGATCCGGGGGGCATACAGTTTTTGTCCTGTCCACCTGTCTATTTGTCTGTTAGACTGTGTTAGCCTCTTTGTCCGCAAACACTTTAACTATGCCCATAAAATTGATTGGTTGGAACTACTGCTTTCATATTTCTTATGTGTATTCCTAGTAACAAGGACTTCCTTCAGGTACCAACATATTTGACCTCTTGACCTTGAACTTGGAGTTTGATCCTCTTTCGCAAAATTTTACCAAACTATAACCTTGGCCAAAACTTTTGAACAGTTGGTGCTATGGCTTTTATAAATCACATCTGCATCCCATGTGATAAGTCTCCTCCTTGGGTATAAATATGTTTGACCATTTGACCTTGACCTTGGAGTTTGACCAACTTTTAAACAACTTTAGCCTTGACAATAACTTTTGAATGACTAGTACTAGGGCTTTTATATTACATAGGTAATTTTCTTGTGACAAGGCCTGTCATTGTATACCTGTAATTTTGACCATTTTACCTTGACCTTTGAGCATGTCCTACTTTTGAAAAACTTTAACCTTGGTTTTAACTTTTGAACAGTTGGTGCTAAGGCTTTTTTAATACCACATGTGTATTCCTTGTAACAATTAAGACCTTCCCTCAAGTACAAACAATTATGATCCCTTGACTTTGGAGTTTGACCTTTTAAAGAAATTAACCTTGGCCATAACTTTTAAACTGTTGCTGCTGTGGCTTTCATACTAGTATATATTTCACAGTATATTCTTTGTTCAAGACCTTTATTTGGGTAATAACATTTTTTTTATCTTTTGATCTTGACCATGGAGTTTGACTTGCATTTGAGAAACTTTTAACTTTTGCCATAAGATGCCATATGTGGGCATCAGTGTTTCAAAAATCACACGTTGTTCAGTATCTAAATCGGGCATAAAACATTTACAATGATCCTTTAAAGCAGTGAGTTGAACCTAATAAATTACGACTATAGAAATTATGATAATTTATTTCGATGTATGATCTAAAAAAACGTTTATTATACCTCTGTGAAAACTAGCTTACAAGTGAAAAATCACTAGTAAAATAGAATTTGATTGGCCGAGAAAGTCACGTGTCCATCATGTTTGCCCTGCAACAAAACGTCGTGTTTCACGATTGTGACGTCACAATTAAACGAGTGAGGAGTTAGATTGTTTATAGCGACGCTGCTAACTTCGTTCGCGCGGTAACAACAACTAAAAATTCACCCCAAAAATCACCTTAATTAATGGAATTGCATACAGATAGTAGATTAAACGTTCTTTGTTAAAATGTTTGCACTTTTCAAAATTCGTTTATGGAAATACAGCTAACATACGTCATGAGACGTCACAGTCTAGACGTTCCAAATGTCTCGTGCTGTTTGAAGAGGCGGATCTTAAAATTAAGTGAACAATGCACTCGCCCAACGGTCGCACCGTCAACATATTATCCTTGATTGATTGTGTCGATTTAAATGTGTAAAAATGTAATGGTGTTTGAATGTTACTGGTGTGATCACACAAACTTGTCACGTAGGAATTTTTTTTAATGAAACGAGGCTATTGGTGTACCTGTAACTTACATCTCTTTCATATCGTTCTCATCAAATGCATGTTTGCTTTATTCATTGGATCACCTTTGTAAATCCTGCATTTTGGTTAATTCGGTATTATAAACAATTTATTGCATAATAGTGAGGGAGACATAAAGATTTCTTCGCAAATGAAAAATCATATTTCTCTCGGGCGTTGCCTTCGGGGAGTATGATTTTTCATGGGCGAAGACATCTTCATGTTGCCCTCGGGGAATATGATTTTTTATGGGCGAAGAAATCTTCATGTCTCCCTCACTATCATGCAATAAATGCAAACTGTGAACTTGTCAATTCCGAAACACACAAAAGGGTATCGCTGATATCATACAGAGTGTATCATTGCCTTGATCAGGCCCATAGGAAGCAAATTCAGGGGGTTTTTTTTTGGGGGGGGGCACAGCCATACATTTTCAGTTGACAGTTGAGGGGGCACTACTACCATAAATTCCTTGACAAGCAAAAAAAAAAAAAAAAGGTTATCAGAGGTTTTTATTGAGGTGACACAAGCTATAGTATCTATGTCTACTATTAATAGTAATCTATATATCGGCAAAATTATTGGGGGGCACGCCCCCCTCCCTCGGTTCCTACGGCCATGTTGATTAAATTTAGGGTCACTAAGGAAAGAATGTTTTGACTGGATGAATGGTCTGAAAGAACATGTGTTAACTTGTCGAGTCGGTAACACATAGATGGGGTTTGCTTATAACCAGAGTGTGTCATGGTTTGATGCAAGGTCATTTGAACGAGTTCAAGGTCATCAACGGAGAAACAACATTCCTTAACTGTCTTTCTACTGGTGAGACATTGCAAGTTGATACCCCTTACAAGATTGCTTATAACCTTAGAATGTGGCATGACCTTGACTCAAGGTCACTTCTTCCTGTTCGCAGCTCCAACGGAAGACCTACTCGTTGCTTTGCAACGAGCTCTGCTCTAGTTGTGAATTTATTTGTGAAATGTTTCCGCACCTATCATCAAAAATTAGACATAAAATAGACTTAAACTTATTTCATTTACAAACATAATTTATTTTGTGCTCCATAAAAAATGTTAAGTTTACACCCTATAATACTCGTTAGTAATTTTATTCCGAACCTTTAATTGTAAATGTAATATTTCCTAGCTTTTTAGTTTGTGGCACTCGTTAAAAAATAAATCGGGTTTTCCCCAAATTTATTTATACATAAATACACTCTATTGATTAACTAGTCCAAAGCTACCTAAAAGTATTTTAGAATAAACATTGAAAATAATCTTTTCCAGTAGGCAGGTTCTGCCTTTCGGTCTGTATCACATCTTTAAGGAAACAGTAAGATAAGATACGTCGTAAAAATCTATTATTCAATCTTATCATTACAACATATTGAGAAAAAAAACATATTGATGGTTCCTCATACAGATTGATTTTTGTACACACTCTCGGTGATTGATGCAAACATAACATGCGAGTACATGTATTCAAGAAACTTCATGTTAAGTAGTCAATGACGTAAGTACTTTATTACATGTATATATTCATAGAATATAAATGCAGCTGTCTACATTGTCACACGTATGCTTAAACTCACTAATACTCATCTGCAATATATCAGGGGGTCGTAACATAAAGGGTACTTAAGTCTAAGACCATGCTTAAGTAGGACTTAAGTACAGTCTTAAACTTAAGACCGTAACTAGAAACGTGCTAAGATTTGACATTCTTAGCAAAACTTAGGCGGCCGGTAGAGGTGACTTAAGTATGTCTTAACTTTCTTAAACATATATTTAGAACTACTTAAGGTAGACTTTCTATGTTAAAACATTCCTCTATTTATATTATGCATTAAAAATAATTTTCTATATTTAATATATTGGTATAAGAATTTTAGTTTTTCGTCGGGGGGGGGGGGGGTATTCATCACTGATTCCAATATCACTCTCTAAATGACATATACATGTAAATGCAAAATATTGTTTTTGGGATACGTTTGAAATATTAGTGGGACCTAGGTTATGAACACTAATCATTACAAGTAAATTGTATACAGTAATCACGGATTTGTTTGTTCACTGTGAAAAAATGAGATGAAATGATTTTAAAAATTGTCGGTGAATTAAAGGATGATGACTAGAAAACAAATAAAGATTTTCTGTAAATTAGGTTGAATGTAGAAGGCAACAAGCGAGAATTCAGACAGGATTCACTACCGTTCACTAACGTTCCAGAGAGAGAGAGAGAGATTGTTGATAAGTTGGAGATATACGAAAAATTATTTTCTAAAAACAATTCTTTTCCATCCTTCATTAAATTGTAAATAAGTATATCATAAAACGTCTGCAGTCTCTGCTTGCTGATATGGGAGGAAAAAAATTCAAAATGTCTTTATTGTTTTGCTCTTTTTTTTATTAGAGTTTCAATCAAGTACATAGACGTACGATTATCGTGCCATGTCTGCGAGAATGACAATTTGAACGCAAGTGAACATTTGTCAAACGAAAGAATAACAACAAACGGTAAACTGAAAACATCGCAGTCTAGAGTGATAAACAATATTCACGCATTTACAATGAACCACTAGTGCCACTTTGTGACTGTGCAATATTTGTTTTCAAATACACTGTATTTCGAATAATTTAAACAGAATTAACTTTAATTAAATACGAAATCTAATCTAACCTAGCTAAAACCGATAGGTAAGGACGTCAGCTTTAATATTTATATGTGACTAAAAACGTAACTAAATCATTTTTACAAATATATATATAAATAAATTGAAAAACTAGGATGATTCATAACAAATATTTTGAACATAAGTTTGACTTAGCTAAGACCTACCTAAGTCCGTCTTATGTTACGATTTAAGACATACTTAAGTAGTACTTAGGTAGGTCTTAAGATTGCACCTAAAACATACTTATGACCCTACTTAAGTCAAAAACTTAGCAAGCTTTATGTTACGACCCCTGTATGTTATTATTATGCTGAAAGTATAAATAAACAGAGATGTTCTTGAAATCCCGTGTACCTTAATTGTTATTCAAACCCTTACTTATTCGACAATAGAAGACCTGATTAGTCACTGCCATTTGTATTCCTTATCTAATATAAATTTTAATATTAAAACTAAGAAATAAATAGAGAAATGCTCAAAACCGAAGAAGAAATAGATATACAGTAACAAATATCAAATTTTGAAGATTTATTTCCTATTCTCTACCTCTTAGAAACTATATATTAAGTACATGTCATTACAACGTGCAATAATTGAATATTTATAGAAACTAGAAATATAAATAAATTTACATATGTTAATGGGTTTTTTCCCTACGGAAAAATGCCCATTCAAAGTAGAATCTGTATTTATTATCACAGACAGCTACAATTATCATCCGGTGCCTTAAACTTCCATGCTATGAGTGCTAGCAGCGTCTGTCGTATGTATTGGCGGATTGGATTGGAGGTTTTCCTGTGTTTTAATGACTAATTTTGTCGTGCCGTACGTTGGGTTGTCAAAGGTCGCAGCCTCTTCTTGGTCAATCATATTTAGGTCAAGGTTATCCTGATATCCAACGCTATTTTCTCCAAATATTCTGGTTTTCTCCATTACTGGGCGTTTTCTAGATAGGAAAATTCAAGGAGTTGGAGCATAGATTTTTCTCTATAAAATATTTCGTTTTAACTTTAAATTTGCTTTTCTTACAACTTACCTTTGTTTCTGAATATATAGCATAACAACCGCCACAATTATAATAGCCACTGCCACCGCTCCTAAGGATCCGCCAACGATAGGCATGTATCTGTCAGCCCAGCTCTGATGTCAAAAGTAGAAAAAAATAGCAACAGTTAAATTGAACACATTTTAAAAGTTGTAATGAAAAATAGATTGAGTACTCACTTTTCCCGAAATTAGTAGGGAAAAGATTTTTTCCCCTACATTCTCTTCCTATGTTAATATATTTTAACATTTTGAAACTAGAGTCTTCAAAAAAACATATGTACATGTGTCGCCAAGAACATAATTAAAACACGATTATAGCAATATTTCATCTTTCTTGCAAAACTGAAAAGCATTTTATATGAATTTTATGCGAAACTTAGGGTTTATCCTAGAATTGCGGTAAGTAAAAGGCCCAGTCAAGGTTACAATGTGGTTTTCAACCTCTGAAGGTACTGAAGCAAATCATAACATATTAAATTAGTAGAGATAAAAGCCTAATTTTATTTCCCTCCAAATACTGATTAAGCTACACATTTGACGGTCAGAAAATCAGTAAGCCGAGTACTTTTTAAAACAATTGATATACTAAAAATAAAATCCGAATTTTTATGTTTCAAGAGAATTAAGAATATTTTCAGAAGTAGGTCAAAAGTTAAGTTCAAGATTCACTGTCTGTAACCCAAATGCATTTTGAAATGTTCATAAACATGCTAAATATCAAAGCCCGATATTTTACGTTTCAAAAGTTTTTTTTCCCCTGGAAGTTAGTAAAAGTTCAAGGTCATAAACTATGCATGCCCATTATTTCATTAAAGTTACATAATTGAACAACACTTAGTGATTGTTTTATCCAGAGTATGCCTGTCTCACTGTATGTGTGTTACAGCCTATGTTTTGTAACAGGCATTACGCATCCTATACCTTACACCTCGTGGTCTCATATATCTCCAGCTTGAAAAGACAGTTATGAACTAACTTTGAAAAGCTTTCAAAGGCTAAGTACAAGACACAAAGTCAGTAACTAGTACATTGATATTATACAAAAACCCTTCCAACAAGCAATACAGGTTCAAAACAGGATCCTTACACATACTGTGGTATAGGGACATCTGACGAACAAACGTCAGTCAAAGTGATTCCCCCAAAAAATCATCCTACAGAGTAGGTGCCACAAGGAAAAAACTTTATCTGTCAGCATTTGTATTAGTACAAACCTTATTGTCCACAACTTTTTTACTGGGAGCTGAAAAGATAGGCTTCTTTGAAGTAAGCACTGTTGTCGATGGATTTGATGTTTTTGTTGAGGTGTTTTGCCGGGGAGATGTGAGGGAATTTAATGTGGTAGCAGAAGGCGTGGTCGATGGTCTACTTATTGTTGTTGTGGTGTTAGTCATGGAAGTTGTGAGCGGTACAGTTGTTTCCTTTTTTATCGTGGTGCCTAGTTTCATCGTCTTCAGGTGTGTGGTTTTGCCATAGGTGGTGAATGTGTCTGTTGTCATTGTTGTTGATTCGGTTGTAGTTGTTGTAATTGCATTCTTGCAATCTGTTCCTGTATATCCTTCAAAAAGAAGAAAAGTACATAAATAATACCGTGTGTCGAAATTAAATGTGCCTAGCTATTTTTCTATTATGACCTACCTTTACTGCATATTTTCTCCCCATTTTCTCCACATTGATAATTAATCATTGGAGCGCAAAACGTCGTGCAGTTAGGCCCATAAAAGTTATTTTTACACTGAAAATGTCCGTCCGGGCCACACATTGTTGTGTTTGTTGCTATACAGTTCTTACAACAATCTACACCACAATGATTAGGATTGCACTGCAGAATACCATTAACGTCACAAGCCAGGTTTCTTGAGGCCACGCAGTGAGTGCTGCAGTCTCTGCCATAGAAATTCTTGGCACAAACTAAATGTCCGAACGCGTCACAAATTTTATTTCCCATTGGTTCACAGCGTCTGGAACACTGCTGTCCATAATAGTTCGGCAGACACACTGTTGATCCATTCAGTGTGCACACCTGATTTCCTTTAGCGATGCAGTTTAAGCAACAGTCCGTCCCACAGTGATTGCTTTTACAGATTAAGTCCCCTTCTTTGGAGCACGTGAGATTCCCCTCGGCAAGGCAATATTTCGAACATTTGTCGCCGTAGTAGTGGTCGGCACAAACTAAGTTTCCCTTCACGTTACAACGTTTGTGTTTTTCAGCCTTACAGAAAATGGAACAATCTGTGCCATAATAATTTTTCTTACAAACCTTTGTACCGTTTGATGTACATTCACTGTGATTATCTGCGATACAGGCAGAGCAACAGTCAGGACCACAATGGTTTTCCTTGCATTTCAGATGCCCATTTGAGTCACAAGTCAAGTTTCCAGTCGAAACACAGTGATTTTCACAACTCATTCCGTAGAAATCTGTTTTACACACGAGATTACCCTCTGTATTGCAAATCTTCTTTCCTTTAGGTAAGCATAATTTAGTACAATTTGAGCCGTAGTAATGTTCTTTACAAATAAGTGTCTGATTTTTGGAACACATCCTGTTACCCGAGGCGATACACAACCCACAGCAGTCAGATCCACAATAGTTTGGTTTACAAATCAGTCCACCGTGATTTTCACATTCAATGTTACCGTCTTGGACGCAAAATACAGCGCATTGTGGTCCAAAATAATTTGGTTTGCAGATTATATCGCCATTCAAATCACAGGTTGTGGTGTTTCCTTGAACACAGTGTTTTGTACAGTTAGTTCCATAAAACCCTGGTTTGCAGATGAGAGTTTCATTTGCAGCACACATTTGATTCCCGGACGCTATACACTGACCACAGCAGTCGGAATCACAGTGATTCTTCCTGCAAACAAGTGTTCCATCAGTGTCACATGAGAGGTTTGCAAATGGAGTACACTTAATTAAACAGTCCGTTCCGTAAAAATTCTCGCTACATTTTAAGTTTCCAGAGGAATCACATATTTTATTTCCACTTGGTATACACTGCTTAGAGCAATTTACACCGTAAAACGTCTGTTTACACACCAGGGAACCCGATTTGTTACATATTTGGTTTCCACTTGAGATACAATGCCCACAACAATCTATTCCACAGTAATTTGTCTTACAAACGCGTTGCCCATGAGAGTCACAAAGCAAATTTCCATGTGGAACACAATTAATAGAACAATTTGGACTGTAAAACGAAGGCTTGCATTTTAATGTACCATTGATGTCACAGACTTGATTCGGATTGGGAACACAATTAACTCTACAATCTTTCCCGTAATAATTTTGCTTACAGATAAGAGTTCCGTTGTGTGCGCAAATCTGATTCCCGGATGCAATGCACTGACCACAGCAATCTAAATCACAGTGGTCCTGGCTACATACAAGTTTACCATCAGAATTACATATCAGGTTCCCCATTGGAATACATTTCGTGGAACAGTTTGATCCGTAATAATGCTCTTTACATTTCAAATCTCCAAAAGAATCACATACTCTGTTTCCATATGGAATACATTGTTTAGAACAATTTACGCCATAATAGGTTTGTTTACATACTATAGAACCGGTACCATTACATACCTGGTTTCTACTAGCAATACAACTTCTACAGCAATCTTCACCACAGTGATTAGCCTTGCACACATGTTTACCTTCTGTATCACAGACCAAATTACCTTTCGGAAAACAGTTGATGGAACAATTTGTACCATAAAAGGAAGGCTTACATTTTAATACGCCTTTGCCGTTGCAATTTTGGTTTTGGTTTGGGACACATTTAACAGTACAATTGCTGCCATAAAAATTCTTTTTGCATACTTTTGTTTCATTTGCGCACACGAAGTTACCAACAGCGATACAATTTCCACAACAGTCCTCGCCGCAGTAATTAGGCAAACAAATATGTTTTCCAAACTCGTCACAAATCACGTGGTCACGTGGGAAACAAAGTGTAGAGCAGTTAAGTCCATAGTGGTTATACTTACATTGCAAATTTCCTGTATGATCACATATCTGATTCTCGCTGGGAATACACTGTATCGAACAATTTTGACCGTAGTAAGAAGGTTTACATGCGATTGTTCCATTTGATTCACAGATCTGATTTCCGGTAGCAATACACGTACCACAACAGTCCCTCTCACAGTGACTGGGCCTACAGATGTGATGCCCAGTCTTATCACACGTCAGATTACCAGTGCTTACACATTTGATTAAACAACGAGAACCATAGAAATTCGGTCTACAGTGAAGATTTCCAAAATCATCGCAAAACTGATTAGCATTGGGAACACAGCGTGCTTTACAATTGGGTCCATAAAAAGTTTCTCTACACCTAAGTGTGCCGTTATTGTCACAGATGTGATTGTTGTGCGCTACGCAGCCTTTACAGCAATCAGGACCACAGTGATTTGGTTGGCATACCAGCTGACCCTGTGTATCACATGTTAGATTACCCTGCGTGGTGCATTTAATAGAACAATTTTGACCGTAAAACTCTTGCTTGCAGATTTTTGTGCCGTTGATCCCGCAGACATAATTACTTCCAGCAATACAATCTTGACAACAGTCTGGTCCACAATGATATTGCCGGCATTTCAAATCTCCATTAATATCACATGTCAGATTACCATGTGATACACAAACCTTGGAGCATGATGGTCCATAATAATGTGGACTACACGTAATACTCAGCAAAAATTCTACCCTGAAAGTTAAAATGATAAAATGATATCATTGTAAAATTGTAGGAACTGATAGAAAAGTGGTAAAAATTTGACAATCAATGAACCATTTTTGTACAAATAAGACGCCACAAATATACAGGTGAGACCGAATGATCTTTTTTAATGCTAATATTAATTATGAAAGTATTTATTGGTATTGTTTTATACAATATTGCTATTATTCAAGATTAAAAAAAAGATCATTCGAAAATAGATAGCGGTAAATATTTGTAATGAAGGTTTTGACATATATAATTTCAACTTGCTTGATTTGTTTTCGTCCCGGTAGTGTGGTTATGGATTTGTTCTGGACCATAGGACCGACGTAATTGTGTCGGAGGATTCCGAGGGTCGTGTCCGAATGGAATGCTTCATAGTCGTACACAACAATTTCTACCGTAATATTTACCTGGAGATAAATTAAAGACAACAGAAACATTTATATTGGTAAAACATTTAGATTTTATATTCCTTATCCAAATTCAACATTACTGAAAATGGTAACTTTAGATTCTGCAAACATTCTGTGATACTTATTTCGTTGACTTTAGGTGGAAAATTAAGAAAATGGCACATCATGAAACAACAGTATGTATTGATAAATAATATGGATGAAATTTAATTATGAAATTCGTCAGCAATGAAAGAGTAATATCAACCAGAGGAAATGACTTTATTATCATAATCTACCTTATTTTCCTTCAGATTATGCCATTTATAGTCAGAATGATGCCTGACATTTGATTGATCCTTAAACAAAAACCCGTGGGTATCGTCCACTCGGTAGTTTTTGTTTCCTCCTTGGCATGGCTGGCTAAATGATGCATGGAATAAAGTACACGTAAGTACACATTTTAAAATGTTTGCATTCTTAGTTAATGAAGCATGTCTTCAGAAACCTTACCTGGATATTCCGCTCGGGGACAGACACACCTTCATATACACATCACACTCGTTACAGATGATAAGGGCACCATCACAGCACCTCTCTTCCTCCCTATAGTAACGGACCAGGTTAACCTCCACGGAATATTCCCCCAGAGACACCTAAATAAAGATGTGGAAAAAATGATAATTTACCTGGTCAGTTTCAAACTGTAAATGGACAAGTCTGAAATTCTTTGAAAAAAAGACATGTGAAAAGTAATGTCAACTACTAGTAGGAACAATCAGAGGCTTTCAAGGACTGCATTTGATTTTATTTTAAAAAAAAACCTTTACTGACAGCCGTCTAGCGCTGTTTCGGGTTGCGGTTCTAGCCTAAAAAATGATTTTTTTTACCGAAACATTTCTTGAAAACTTAATCTTGAAATCCAATATAAATTCATCTTAACAATGTGCTTGATCTTTGAGATTAACTTTGTACAGTTAATAAAATAAATTAAGTAAAATAATAAATACCTGAAATATTCCCAAAAGAACTACAAAAATTACGTATCTCATCTTTTGTTAGGCATTTTGAATTTGTAAAGTATATATATTCCGCTTGTTCAAAACTATAAACAAATCACATGCAATGGGATGTTAGTACCTATCAGTACTCAGTATATAGATAAAGAAAAGTAAGCTGATAACACGGGCATATACTACAGAAGTACAGAACATCAAATAAGCTAAGCTCAGTCATAACAATGCAATTGTCAGTTTGTACGACAAACGATATGACCAGCTTTTCCATCGTCAGTTTTCCTATTCAGTGTAATAAAATTCTGCTGTCACCTTCATATATTTACATTTGCTGTGCTTTTCTACTAAGCCAACTGTGAAATTGATTTGAAAGTCATTTTTGTATATTTACATTTCCAATAAATTTCCTCAATGATTCTTTACAAAATAGAATACAGTTCATTTTCTCATGAACTACCATGAATGGGCATGAATATCTCCATTGTTACGTCATAATACCTCACTTGACGTCAAAACTATAGTGCAAACTCTTTTGCTTTAAAAATGACAGTTGAATGGCGTTATATGAGACATATCATCAGAAAAATAATGTAAATATAAGAAATGAATTTAATTTTTGAAAACTCATGAGGTACATGAACTACAACGCTTCACGCCGGCATATTTATCATGAAGCGCTACTGCGCTTTATGAAATATGCCGCCGTGAAGCGTCGTAGTACATGTCCTCATGAATCTTCAAAACTTAAATTCATTTCTTAAGTATACTCACGCGTAGAAATATACACAGAGAAACGCGCGCTAAAGTGACGTCACAATGAGGCTACGGAGACGTTAATAAAAATATGACGATATAGGGCAGCGAGAAATTCAAACAATGAATTTATTTTTGGTGCATTTAAACATGTAAAATGTAAATATAAGGAATGTTTTTAAGTTTAGTGTGAATTATTTGTGTGTAAATCACACAGACTTGCACGTAGGCATATTTTTCATGAAGCGCGCTAGCCTACGTGACAAGTCTGTGTGATTTACACACCAATAACTCACACAAAACTTAAAAACATTCCTTAAATGGTGTTTACGTCTCCCAACTTATACTCAAGAGCATATGTTCTATATACGAAGAATTTCTAAAACGAAACAAGCTATTGATAAATAAGTTGATGATTAAAGAAATCGTTTAAAGTTAAAATTTCGCAAATTCAATGGTCAATACACAGACCTTGTTAGCAAATACAATTAACTATCGTTAAGTCGAATATTGACTGACATTTTTTATGCAGATTGATAATTATTATAATTTTTACACTGAATTGTCTACGGAATTTTTCTTTACCCGATTGATTATGCATGACATGGAGCATAAGAGATGCTTACTCCTCCATGGCAACTGATCCAATCTCTGATATTATTTTAGAGATTCATGTTTCCTCTGCTTACAATCTGCATTGTTTCAATATACTTCTGAGCTAGATTACTGTTCTTTATTTCCATATTTCATACATTTTGAAATTAACAAACTGAACTTTATGTTAAATTTATTCAGTTGTCTAATATTTCTCTTCATTTCTTTGCTTATCCCTTTCTCTCATACAATCTTCAAACTGCCTCTTATTCAGGTAAATGTACATACTCGTACTTTGAAAAATTCCATTTATTTTTTTTTTCTTAAAGTAAGATTTTGTTCAATAGAAAAAAAAAACATTGATCAGGGAAGATGTAATTGATTTACAGTAAGACTATTAAATAATCCATCCTAGGATACTAGAATCATTGAAACAGTAATTGTACTTCTACAATGCAGATAAAAACATGATTATTATTCTACATATGCTTGAACCTACAGCATTACATAAAACCACCGTCCTAAAAAATTTGGCTTTGTAAAATTCTGCATATATAATAAAAGAAATTAAATCAAAATTAGAAATAAAATGTCTGAAAGACAATACTCCTATAATATATGTACCTGTTATGAGATGTTACAATATTTACATAAGATTGGTCTACATGAGATAACAAAGGATAAACATTCACTGCCCTGTATCAAGTACAAGGTCCCAAAAACTAACCATGAGGTCACTAAGAAAGTGTACGCATGAACCGAAAATTTGCAAAAAAATCTTGTATCCCTCTTATTAAAAAAAATCCTTTCCTTCAGGCAGATCTCCTGTTTTCGTAACAATTTGATACTGACAATTATCTGAATGTTCATATCTATTTCAGGATTGTTAGCTTTGTTAGTTAATTTTGTAATAAGGACAGATAATAAGTACATGGGGTGATCAAAAAGTTCGCAAACTTTCAAATTTTGCACACTTTATAATAAGCTGTCAAACAAATAATCATTATTTCGGTTTGATAATAGATAATAAAAATACATCCGTGTTTATCACGTGGCGCGACCTCAATTTATTCAAGTAACTAGAAGTAAACAAGTTAAACAAATTTGATCAGAAATTTAATTTAATTTTCAAGATAAAACATACCAATAACGGCACATCCGACACCCGACAGACGGGATGTATTTCATAGTAGTTCGGATCCCTTTCTTTACAACTGGTTATAAACTTCAAATTAAGCGTGTATCATTGTAAATAAATAATGTTTGGTAGTTTAGTAGTAGTGCTAGTAGTGCTAGTTGTTTTTTGTTTTTCTGTTACCTTTGTTTTTATGACTCTTTGTCCTGAGGAAGGGACAGAGCGTCCCGAAAAGTTGACAATTTATTTTGTTCGTGTCGTTGGTCATTTTTAGTGCTATATATATATATATATATATATATATATATATATATATATATATATATATATATATATATATATATATATATATATATATATATATATATATATATATATATATTAATAGAAAAAATACATGAAAAAATGAAGATAAGTAACAGTAATTATATTCAAATGTCCATTAAAACAATACAAATTGGGAGCAGAGCAAACTCGGACATCAAAATAATCAAAATCAAAAGGGGTTGTTGTTGTTGTTTAAGCATCCTCCTTGGTGTTTATTTTTTTTAAGTACAAAGGGATATATATCGAATCAATGCAAGAATGAAACTGAATATTGTTAATTGTTGAAACAGTATTAATATATCTATGTGGATTTGGAGGCAACAACAACAGCAACAATAGAGTTTTGTTCTTTCATGTAGAATATTTTGAATTAGTTCTGGTTCATATGAATATCATATCAAAAATCATATAAAAAAGAATGTAAAATATTTTTTTGTATTTGGCTGAAAGAGATTGCAGATGCATGGGTGGCCAATAGAAATTTCAGTGTATAAATAATATCCTAACAATCAGTATGAAAAACTTCGAAATCGAGGCAAGCTATTCACAAACAAGTTGACACAATAATATCAACAGTCTCCTTTAAAGTCATCATTTCGAAAGTTCTATGGTCGATACAATGACCGTGTCAAAAATACAGTCTATCATTAGGTCGAATACTGACTGATGTTTTCATACTAATTGTTAGGCCATCATTTACACTGAATAGTCTACGGATTTTACCGTTTTCCCGATCATGAACGGGTGTGACCGGTCGATAGGGGATGCTTACTCCTCCATGGCACTTATCCCACCTCTGATGTTTTTAATGGTCTGTGTTGCTCTGCTCCCGATTTGTATTGTCAATGGACTTTTGGGCTTGAGTACTGTTAGTTATCTCCATATTTCATTCACGTAGAGTAAATTCACGTAAATTATTTAATACAAGATTATAAAAAAAAATAATGTGAAATTTTATATATTTGCATATTGTAATGAAAAATGTGAAAATAACAATGATCGATTTAAAAAAAAGAAAAGAAAAAAAAAAGAATCTCTGAATCAAGGAGGATGACTCTGACATGCTTCATATATAATTCGATAAAACTGTATATATTGGATATTTCCGTAATAAAATACATATATGTATCTTATTTCAAGGTAGAACATTAATGTAAATACAACTCATTTAACAATATGATTATTTTAAAGTGTAAGATCAAGGGTTTCGCAACATTTCAAAACGACGTTGAAGAGATTCTGCAAAAAGGAATCTTGCTAAAAGTTAACGCACAATTTAAGGACAATGCAATAAGCAGCAACAGAACAAAAATTCTAGACTGTCTTACCTCTTGAAGGCAATGGCATCCATGAGCACCGTTTGCAAGACTGTTTCCTTAAGCTCTACAGGTACAGAATCATTATTCAGACAATGAGGAATTTCTGTTTTAACGATTACTCTTACTAGACAGTGCTTAAGACAGCAGCATTAAGATACACGGTAGGTTTTTATCTTCGATATGGTCGTGTGTAATTTTTGGTGAGCAATATTTTTTAATAAATTTTCTGACTTGAACATCAAAAGATTATGTCTCATGAAATATATGGAGATAACGAACAGTATTCAAGCTAAAAAGTCCATCAAACAAAACAAAACAGGAGCAGAGCAAACACAGACCTCCAAAACATCAGAGGTGGGATCAGGTGCCATGGAGGAGTGAGCATCCCCTGCCAACCGGTCACACCCGCCGTGTGCTCCTTATCATGATCGGGGAAAAAACGGAAAAATCCGTCGACAGGTCAGTGTATAATTAAGCCACCTGATCCCACCTCTAAATTTTGAGGTTCGTGTTTGTTCTGCTCCAAATTTGTATTATTTCATTGGACTTTCGAGATTGATTACTGTTCGTTATCTTCATATTTAATACCAAAAAAGGTGTTTAAAATTGTTTTTCAGATTTAGTAGTTTTGAGGTTTTGTATTGATGATAAAACAACTATTCTAAGTCCCATTTCGTCTTATCAATCTTATCAGTGTATATACAAGAGAAGGGTTTGTTATAAGTCATGGTTGAAAAAAGGTAAAGATTTTAATGACAGAAATAAGACTTTGATTGGAAACCAATCATTTTGTAATTAATATATATGGGCCACAACACTCACCCGAGTCACTATAGTCCTGCCTTTCGTCATCAGGAGATTTTCCCCTATATATTCCAATGTAAAACTTTGACCACATATTATGGCCTCAATTACCCCAGGGGATCATGATT